GTCCCAGCTCCAGCCTCTGGTGCTCACGCTCCTCCTCCGGTTCCCCACCCCCAGCCCGCCGCGGCCTGGTATCAACGTGTGGTCCCGCCAGGGGAGCCGTGTGTGCCTCGTGCTCCCCGGACGGCGGTGGTGTTCTCGGCTTTAGCCATGGAGATGGAGCAAGTGAACGCGCTGTGCGAGGAGCTAGTGAAAGCCGTGACGGTCATGATGGACCCCAGCTCCACCCAGCGCTACCGGCTGGAAGCCCTCAAGGTAGCTGGGGTCCTGGCGCCCTGGGCCGGCCCCGAGACCCCTGTCCCAGGCTTCCCCCACGTCCTTTCCAAGCTCAGCTTGTCTCCCGCCTGTGCGGCCCTTGGACCTTCCACTCCCGGTGGGGACAGTGGCCTCGGGTCGCGCGGCCCTCCTCACCTCTTCCCACTTGGGTCTCCTCTTGCTTGCGCGCCTGCCTTTGCCTCGCACTCGAGGATCCCTAACTGCAGCGCACTCCCTAGTCACATCTCAGTGGCCTTCCTGCCCACTCCCCACTTCTTTTCACTCTAGACCACACCACGATCTCCACCACCTTAAGCTACGCTCGTTCTGACGCCCGGGCAAGCCCCACATTGCCTGGCGTTCTGGGAGCGCACGTGCAAGTTCTGCCTCCAGTGCCACCCTCATTCTCCCCTGCTTATCCATTCCAGACTTATGCTGACTTCAGATCCCCGAGTATCCCTTTCCCACATCCTTACATGCCCCTCATTCAAGTCTTGGGCATCTCTGGCCAATTTGTAGCACCCCTCCCATGTTTATAGGTGTGAGACATTCTTCGGCTATTTTTGCGCAAAGATGAGTTTTACCACTCGCTTTGCATTTTCACAAGGGCACTTTGGTTTCCTGGAAGTAGTTTTCTTGAGTCCCAGGTGCTCTGCCCTAAGGTCTAGCTCAGGTTTTCCATTTGGGAACGCTAGTACCGGCCACAGAGCTTCTTTCCCATTAGAGTGAGCCGTTCATATAGATGTATGTGGTACAGGGTTTGGAGTCAAACAACTGTTTTCTTTGTTTTTTATTGTTAAGAGTTTTACATAGGCACAGAAACAGAATACTGCAGTGATCCCGAATAGGCCTGTGATGGAAACTCAGATGATGAACACATTGGCTTGTTTACTGTCTCTTGTCACCATAGTTTTTTAGGCTAAGTCTAGGGGGTTGACATTCCACCTCTATGGGTTTATCTCTAACTATTTTCCACTCTTTTAGGTCCACTTTTTAGTGTTAACATGTTTACAAACAAAGTGGCTATCTGTAATACTAATCTAGATTTTGCAACTTAGAAATGCAGCTAAAAAGACGAGCCTAGTGGCGCAGGCCTATAATCCTGGCTACTCAGGAGACTAAGGCAGGACATTCAAATGTTAAAGACCAGTTCAAGCAAAAAGTAGCCAGATTGCTTAGGGGGTGAAGTGCTTGTTAGGGCTGGGTGGTGTCGTCCAAGCATAGCTGTGGAAGAGACTAGCAGATCCTTGAATTTACTGGCCAGCCAGTCTAGCCAAATCATGAGTTCCAGGTTCTCAAAACAGCTGAGAGAAAAAGACATTCAGCTTCGGTCTCTGGCTCTCATTTCCTTGCCCAGCTACATATATGTGCACATGCATGAGAACACTGAATACATACCACAAAAAGAGAGAGAAAGCTGGAGGTATAATTTAGTGATAGTGTGTTTGCCTGGCACACAAAATGTTCACTTCCCAGTACACAATCAACTAAGGTTGAAATTTTCTTAGGGCTCTTAGTCTCCATTCTCTCATGTTTCCCCATGGAAATACTAACGTTTCTTTGCAGTTTTGTGAAGAGTTTAAAGAAAAGTGCCCTATCTGTGTCCCATGTGGCTTGAGGCTGGCAGAAGTAACACAGATTGCCATCGTCAGACATTTTGGCCTTCAGATCCTGGAGCATGTTGTCAAGTAAGGAGCTCTTGGCCACTGCAATCTGCTGAAGAGAGCAACTCTATAATCCTTTCATGACCTACACAGGTGCTTTTCCAGTGACAGGAGAGAAAAGAACTCAGGATTCTTTCTTTTTATCCAGTTAAGTCATCTATGTAAAGTGTGTTGCACATACTAAGCATTCAACAAGCTAGGCATGGTACATTTGCAGTGCTTACAGCACTGGGAAACTGAAGCAGGAAGACTGTCACAAATTCAGGACTACATAGGCTACATAGTTTCAGGATAGTGCGCTACAGAGTGAAACTTTGTATCAAGAAAACAAATTTTAAAAAAGAAACAAACTTTTTTGTTCTTGAAAAGCACTGAATATTGTAGATGCCTAGATGGATATTTGCTTTTGAGCTATCAACAAAATCAAGGAGAAAAGCTGATTTGTAACATAAATCCTGTGTAAATGCTAATTAATGCACAAAAGCTTCTCAAAAAATTTTCTGTTGTTAATGTTCTGGTTTTTCTGTCCATTCTTTGAAGAGTATAGAATAAAAAGTGGAATTTTTAAATAGATGAACTTATTTATTTTATGTGTATAAGTGTTTTGCCTGACTATATGTATGTGCACCATGTACATGCCTGGTGCCCCTCACAGAGGCCAGAAGAGGATGCTGCATCCCCTGGAACTGGAGTTACAGATGGTAGCGAGCTGCCATGTGGGTGCTGGCACCCAACCCCAAGTACTCTTAACCATTGAGCCATCTTTCCAGCACCATGTTTTAAGATGTTGTTATTTTTAATTAATGTGTACTTGTGTGAGTATGTGCTTGTGAATGCAGATACAGAGACATGATTGTTGTGGAGCTTACAGGTGTTTATATGCTGCCCAACATGGGTGCTGGGAACTAAACTTAGGTCTTCTTAACCACTGAAATGCCCCTCTAGCCTTAAAAGTGTGTGTTTCTGTTTTGGGTTTTTTTGTTTTGTTTTGTTTTTAAAGAAAGCCAGGCGTTGGTGGCGCACGCCTTTTTTTTTTTTTTTTTTTTTTTTTTAAGATCTTATTTATTATGTATACAACATTTTGCTTCCATGTATATCTGCACACCAGAAGAGGGCACCAGATTTTATAATGGATGGTTGTGAGCCACCATGTGGTTGCTGAGAATTGAACTCAGGACCTCTGGAAGAACAGCCAGTGCTCTTAACCTCTGAGCCATCTCTGCAGCCCCATGTTTTGGTTTTTTGTTTGTTTGTTTGTTTGTTTTTCTCTTTTGAGACAGAGGCCTTGGCTGTTCTGGTCAAAAGTATAATTTTGTTTTTGTTTTTTTGTTTCTCCAGACAGGATATCTCTGGCTGTCTTAGAACTTGCTCTGTAGACCAGGCTGGCCTCAAACTCACAGAAATGCGTCTGCCTCTTATTCCCGAGTGCTGGGACTAAAGGCATGTGCCACCCATCATCCAGAAAGTATAATTTGTTAATGAAATTTCTAATAAACTGTAAAGCAGGAAACATATTCTCTTATGAAGGAAAGACTTCTGACATGGTTTTGTTGGTTTTGTTTTGGTGGTTAGGTTTCGATGGAACACCATGTCTCGATTGGAGAAGGTTTACCTGAAGAACAGTGTCATGGAGCTGATTGCAAATGTGAGCAAAGGGTTATTGGGAGACTTGTGTTCCTAGACATCTGTGTAAAATGTCATGGCTTACACATAGGTCAGACAGTATGACATTAGACACGATCAGAGGAAATCAAAGATTCTTAGCAAATGAGTAAATACAATCCTTAGATGTAGTTAGATGTGGTAGCAACACACCCTTTATCCCAGCACTTGGAAGGCAGAAGTGGGCAAATCTCTGAGTTCAAGGCTAGGCTGGTCTACATAGTAAGTTCCAAGACAGGGAAAACTACATGGAGACCCTGTCTCAAAATAGATAAGGTTCTTAGATGTAAATTAGATAGATGATTGTAACTCCATTCACTTTGAATTGTGTTTTCCTTTTTTTTTAATTTATTTAATTTTATGTGCATTGGCATGAGGGTGTCACATCCCCTGGAACTGGAGTTACAAATTATGATTATTTTAGCTAGTTAAGACTTGTAATTGAAAAAAAAAAAAAAAAAGACTTGTAATTGATTAGTCCTACAGCAATTAGCAGTGATGAACCATCAGTTTTAAATCTTAATTTCTTGGGAGCAGTGATAGTTTATCTCTCTCTCTCTCTCTTTTAATATTAGAACTACTAGTACCATAGTGCTCCTTGATGCCCTCCTGGTCTATCAGTTTCCCAGTGCATGACTTATCTGTCTTCCACTGTGGTCCCCAAAAACATGAAGCAATATAAAAAGCCTCTTCAGTTTGTGTTTTTCTGGCTCTCTGATGGCCAATTATTAGCTGTTGAAGCCTTCATTTATGTTTTAAGTGGGAACAAATGATCAATGAGAATGTAGGACAAGTGACTCATACCTGGAAAACAGGTTTAGGTTCAAAGGAGACCTGTTGATTAGTGTTGTGCTTAAGGAATTTTTTTCAATTACATTTATTCATGTAGAGGGTTGGGTGTGCATGGGTGCTGTGTTAGGTGTTGGGAGGTCAGAGGACAACTTGAGGGAATCAGTTCTCTCCTTTCACAGTATGGGTTTTGGGGATGGAACTGAGGTTGTCAGCCTTGGAGACAAGCACCTTCACTCACTGAGCCATCTCCCGAAACCCACCTGTCTTGTTTTTGAGTCATGTTTTCATGTGGCTCAGGCTGGGCATACACTTGACGTATAGTAGAGAATGACACATTCTGTGATTGTGTGTATACACTCAAGCGTAGACATAGCGCAGCACATTGATGGAGGTTAAAGGGCAACTTTCAGAAGTCAGTTCCCTCCTAACGTGGGTTACTGGTTGAACCCAAGTCAGCAGGCTTACCCTGCCTCAGAGGATGCCTTTTGATCTTCTGGCCCTCCTACCTCCACTTCCCATGTAAAAGATTTCAGGTGTGTTCCACCAAACTCAGTTTATGTCCTGTTAGGCATCAAAACCAAGACCACAGCAAACACTGTGCCAACTGGGTTACATTCCAAGTCCAAGAGTTCTGTGTTTTTATAGCCCAGTTTTTATGTCTACAATTCAGTCTTACAGTCTTCATAATCTCTCCCTTTCTCTCTCTCTTTCAGGGAACATTGAGTATTTTGGAAGAGGAAAATCACATTAAAGATGTTCTGTCTAGAATTGTGGTAGAGATGATCAAACGAGAATGGCCACAGCACTGGCCTGACATGTTAATGGAGCTGGACACTCTCTCCAGACAAGGGGTAAGAAGTGCATTCCTGCTGCCTGCATGGAGCATATGTGTGCTGGTTGTGGTTAGAACAGATGTAAGGGTTTGCTTTGTAGTCGTGTTCACAGTTTATCAATAGCAGGTCATGTGTTGACATGTGACACATGTGACATATGTACATAAAAAAGTGCTTTTGTTTAATTGGATGTTTTCTGTTGGCCTAGGAAACACAGAGGGAATTAGTGATGTTCATCCTTTTGCGATTGGCAGAGGATGTAGTGACCTTTCAGACACTCCCCACTCAAAGAAGAAGGGATATTCAGCAAACATTAACACAGAACATGGAAAGAATCTTCAGTTTTCTGCTCAGCAAACTTCAGGAAAATGTAAACAAGTACCAGCAAATGGTATGGATTTCCTACTATCTTCCCAACCTGGAAATTAAACCCTGCTTATAGTTTAAGCAAGCACTCTGCTATGAAGCTCTACCTTCAGCACACTCTTGCTTTTTGTTTTGAGTGAAGTTCTTGCTAGGTTTCCAAGGATGTCCTTAACCCATTCAACATCCAAGCAGGCCATGAACCTATGGTCCTTCTTGCCTTAGCCTCCTGAATAGCTGGGATTACTGACCTAAGCTACTGCATACAGCAAAGGTCCAGTATTTGACCTGAGTGTTTTTTGTTTTGGGGTGTTTTGTTTGTTGTTTTTGTGAAAATACCTTTCCAGGGGAAAATACGAGTGTCTGGTTTAGCAGAAGGAAAGGCCATCTTAAGAGCAAAATTTCTAGGAAATATCAAGACAGAAATTAAACCATTTTCTCAACTGTTCAGCTCAATGAGTTTATATGTAAGTTCCTTTCAAAATAAAAACATTCTTTTAGAATAGCATAAGAGCCAGACATGGTGGCATACTCTTTATTCCCAGCACAGGGGAGGCAGAGGCAAGCAGATCCCAAGCCAACCTGGTATACTAGTGAGTTTCAAGTTAGCTGGGGTAGTTAGTGAGACTTTTATCTATAAAAACCTAGAAGCATAAAACTGCAGGTTACTGTTTGTTATCAGTATCAGTGGATTCCCAGCATCCACATGGCATCTCACAGTCATCTGTAAATCTAGTCCCAGTGGCTCGGATGCCCTCTTCTCGCCTCTGCAAAAACCAGACACAAACATTCATGCAGGCAAAATCCCCATACACATCACATAATTAATTAAACAACAATAAAACCCTTCTAGATTTTTAGTAAAGTCCTGGTAAGTCATTGTATTCTGTTTGTCCTGGTTCCCTTTGCATTGGGTCGGTTGCAGTGTGTATTAATCATCACTGCATGCTGTGGTATTCTGTTTTTTTGTTTTTTTGTTTTTTTTTTTTCAGATTTATTTATTATGTATACAGTGTTCTGCCTGCATGTATTCCTGCAGGCCATAAGAGGTCACCAGATCTCATTACAGATGTTTGTGAGCCACCATGTGGTTGCTGGGAATTGAACTTGGGACCTCTGGAAGAGCAGCCAGTGCTCTTAACCTCTGAGCCGTGTGTCCAGCCTCTAGGAGTGCCTTCTGTAAGATATTTTAGTTTCATGGAGGAAATAGAAACAGGTTTGATAGATTAGGACTCAAGATAACTTCCTGAAGCACATGTATTTTTATAGTCTAAATAACAATAAATTAATGATGATGTTCTGTAATTCTTGAAAGAATTCTAGATCGAAGTTTTTGGATCTCAGCAGTATGTATACTTTTTGTGGGATGGGGGTTTCAAGACAGGGTTTCTCTGTGTAACAGCCCTGGCTGTCCTGGGACTGGCTTTGTAGACCCAGGCTGACCTCGAACTCAGAGATCTGCCTGCCTCTGCCTCCCAAGAGCTGGGATTAAAGGCGTGCACCACCATGCCCAGCTTCTCTTAAATTTTTAAATGTCACACCTGTTGTCTCAACGTTGAAGTGGTCAGAGCAAAAAGGAAAGTCAGGATATAAGGTTCTCCTCTGCTAGATAGAGTTCAAGACCAGAGTCCAGTAAGTGAGACCTGCCTTGCCTTAAAAATAGTTTCAAACACAGAAGAGGTAGCACCTGGAGAGCTATACTTCATACATTAAGGTCTGTAAAAAGCTTTACAACACTGTGACAAAAATTATTTTCTAAGCCCAGAAAGTAACTCAGTGGGTAAGGGCACCTGCTGCCAAGGTTGACAGCCCGAGTCTCCTCCCTGAGACCCACGTGTTAGAGAGAACTGAATGTTTTCATGTTTCTCTTTGATCTCTATACCAGTTCTGTGCCTGGACATACTCTCACACCACAAATTATAAACCAAGTGGATTTTAGAAAATGTGGCACTGGAAATTGAATTGTGAATACAGAGAAATGAAGAAAGAGGCTTGCTCATTAGGTCCCATCCCCTGGCCTGCACTAGCCCCAGGGCTTGTGGAGGATTGTTGGAGTGGAAGGTAGAAGCTGGGCCCAGCTGCTGTTGTTGCTTAGATCCTTTATGATTCTAGAAATAATTGACTTCACATACTGCAGAAAGTGGTTACTTCCACTGTTTTTTTTTTTTCCTCTTTCATCTTCAGGCGTTTTGGGTATTTGAAACAATCTCACTATGTCACCTGGCTGGCCTAGAACTTGATAGATAGGATAAGAGCCAGCTGTATTTATACATATTTGTGCAGAGCAGCCATTACTTTGGTGTTTAGTCATTTACTAATTTGGCATGCATGATTTACTGTAGTTATACATAGGTGGTCACATACTTTACTCATTAGTTTTGTTTCTTTAACCTGTTCTTTGGTCAGTCCCTTGGTTGCCAATGTTAAAAGTTGCTCTCAACTTGTTATCTTAGCTCTTGAGAGGCTGAGGCAGGAGGTACTATCAGGTTGAGGTTAATCTGGGGTACATAGTGAGTTTCCAGGCACAACAGAGCTATATATCAAGACCTTGTCTGAAAATAAACCAAGCAAGTTAAATCTCCGTAAACCATCACCCTCCCAGCCCCTAATTAGAGAACAGAAGTTATTGTGCACCTTTTCTTCATTAAACCCTCAGGTTCTTTATATTTTTCTTCCAGAAAACTGATGCTTCTCAGGAGGCAGAGGTAAGAGCACTGTGGAGTTGGAAGGACACTTGTTAAAGGTTTCAGGTATGGGTAGGTGTGCCTGCTGGCCGAAGCCTCTAATGGCCACAGTCTGACCCCAGCCCTGTTTCCTCGATTAGCCATAGTGGGAGATACAGTGACAGTAGGGACTTTGTAAAAGAAGATGAAATGGCCATACTTGCCAATATGTTCTTATGATCAATGCTGAGAATGCTAAGAAATGGTTGTATTTTCAGGAAAGAAATTTGAACTCCCTTATTATTATGGGAAAATTATTATGGGAAAACTTTTTTTGAAAAATCATTCTTATTTCAGAACTTGAAAATAAATTTTAATTCAGTACCTCATAATCAAGTGTTTTCACACAGGCTAAAGCAAACTGCCGAGTAAGCATCGCAGCACTGAATACTTTAGCAGGCTACATTGACTGGGTGTCTTTGAATTACATTGTTGCTGAAAACTGTAAACTGCTGGAGACACTGTGCCTGCTTCTCAATGAACAGGAACTGCAGTTGGGAGCTGCTGAGTGTCTTCTCATTGCAGTCAGCAGAAAAGTAAGTAACCACTTGATGTTAATGACTTGTGAAAGAAAGGGTCTATTTTTGTTTATGGTTCAAGAGGGATGAGAAAGTCCATGCCACCTGGCATGGTGACAGGAACAGGAAGCTGAAAGAGAACTAGAAAAAAAAGGAAAGGCTATACTCTGAAAGACACCCCCATCTTCACCCCCCACCATTGACACTACTTCCTACAGCAAGACTATACCTCCTAAAGGTTCCACATCCTCCACCAAACAGTGCCACTGCAACCAAGTGTTCAGATACCTGAGTACATTCTCATTCAAACCACCATGTATTAAACCCTGTTCAGCTGTGTGTCATCTCGTTCAAAGGGTTGGGGATTTTATCCCTTTAGTCCAACTTACTTGCTGCCTTCGATGATGCCTTTAGACAAAAGTTTGCAACATTGAAATGTTGGACTCATTTGCATAATATATGAAAATTTATTAGGCTAGTGGGTCCTTGAAGTAGCCATGATTCTTGTCACTTTATATTTAATTAAAGTAGTATTAAACTTTAAAGTTCACTGTGATGTCAGAGGTATAGAAGATTACAAGCTGTATAAGGGTTTTTTGTTTTGTTTTTGTACTATATATAGTTAGTGTGTATGACAGTGTTTTCCTAAAATTGGGTCCAGGGCAAGCTGGATGACCGGAAACCCTTGATGATCTTATTTGGAGATGTTGCTATGCATTATATTCTCTCTGCTGCACAGTGAGTCTTTGCCTTTCAATATATTGTGGGTTTTTTTTTTTTATTGTTGTTGTTTTGTTTTCATTTAATGTGTAGTGTGTGTATAGATGGTGATTTGTGTGTGGAGGTCGGAGGTCGATATTGGTATGTGTCCTCCTGTATTCCTGTGCACTTTATTTTTTTGAGACAGCATTTCACTGAACCTGGAACTCACTCACTGGCTAGACTAGCTGGCCAATAAGCTCTAAAGTCTGTCTGTTTTCATTCCACTTGCACTAGCGTTACAAGTACACATCCAGCTTTTACAGATGTACCGGAGAGTCAAATTCTGATCCTCATACAGGGGCAGACACTATTGGTACTATCCCCCAGCCCTTAGTTTAGGTGGTGAGTTTTTTTTTTTTTTTTTTTTTTAAACAAAGTTCCTTTTTTTTTTTAAAGATTTTATTTATTTATTATATAGATATATAACATTCTGCTTCCATGTATTCTGCACACCAGAAGAGGGCACCAGATCTCATAACAGATGGTTGTGAGCCACCATGTGGTTGCTGGGAATTGAACTCAGGACCTCTGGAAGAGCAGTCAGTGCTCTTAACCTCTGAGCCATCTCTCCAGCCCAGGTGGTAGGTTTTTTGTTTGTTTGTTTTTTGCTTATTTTAATGCAAAGGACTGAATGCCAAGCTTTGTACAAGCTGAGAAAGCCCTTTCCCTGACAGCCACCTGGCGGCACGGTACGGGCTACATGTTCATTTGTTTGTTTATTAGTGGCATTTCAAGACAGGGCTTCTCTGCCTCTTGAGTGCTGGGATAAAAGGGGTGTGCCATAACTAACCAGCTTTTTTGTTTGTTTACTTTTTATGGAGAATAGGTTTTTTTCATAGACTATGTTTTAACCAGTTTCCTTTCCCTTAAGTCCTCCCAAATCCTCTCTCCTACAGTATGTTTTTTCCTGCCTTCAGTTTTTTTGTTTGTTTTTACATTTTGTGTGCCTGTGTTTGGTGGGAGTGGGTGGAGAGGGAGAATCAATGAATGAATGAATGAATGAATGAATGAATGAATGAATGAATGAGAATATGATCCAACTCTCTGGACCCACCCTGTTTTTGATGCTTTCATCTGAGTCCAAAGACCAGTATGAAAAAGGGGGTAAGAAGTAAGATGTGTTACTTGTGTTCTCTGACTGGGGCATGAAGCCTGGCTTACTTTGTTAGGAAGAATGCATCTGTTTAAGGAACCCTGTTACAGGAATAAACACATCTTTGGCTTTCACTTTGGTTCCTGCTCCTAAGGCCCATCTCTTCAACCTGTTGCAACTGTGATATATTCACAGAGGTGTCCCTACATGTGTTTCTTCAGTTGGTACACACCACACCTACACAGTTAAAAAAGCTGTGATTCCAAATAGACAGGCTGCACGGCCTGCAAGGAAGCCATCACTCCACACTGTCTTTCTGCATACCTCCAGTCTCTGGTTTTCCCTGAGGCCTGTGTTTTCTCATCCTCCCCTGCCTCCGGGTCTCAGTTACTGCTTCTGCAACTCACATGAGTTGTTATGCTGTTAGTGTGAGTAATCTTACTTGTCTCAGGCTAATTTTCACCTCCAAAAAAAATTTTAAAATGAGCCCTGCAGTGGTCGAACACACCTATAATCCCAGCACTCAGGGACCTGAGGTAGGCAGATCTCTATGAGTCGGAGGCCAGCCTGGTCTATAAAGCTACACAGAGAAACCCTGTCCCTGTCCCGAAAAAAAAAAAAAAAAAAATTAAAATGTAGTGGGGTTTTTTGTTTAGTTTTTTGTTTGTTTTTTTTTAGAAAAGCTGAATGCTGATGAATTACAGACCTAAACTCAGTAACTTAGGAAAGTGAGACAATTTTTGTTTTTCTTTTCTCTTTTTTTTTTTTTTTTTTTTTTTTTTTTTTTGAGTCAGGGTTTCACTATGTAGCCCTGGCTGTCCTGAAACTCAGTACATAGACCAGGCTGGCTGAGAAATGCCAGTCTCTGCTAGGGCTAAAGATATGTACCACCATGCTTGACCAAAAAAAATTTTTATTATATTTATCTCTTTATTTTCATGGAAGTATACACAGGCACACATTACAGTATGTATTTGATTAGAGAATAATTTATGGGAGCCAATTTTCTCCTACCACCCCATGGGTCCCAGGAATTGAGCTCAACTCTTTGGGCTTGGAGGCAAGTGCCTCTACCTGCTAAGCCATCTGACTGGCCGAAGACATTAAATTTTTTTATTATATCCATTTTTGGTTCCTGGTATAAGGAATTGTTACATTCATACCCTGTTTCCTAATGCTGAGAATCTCTGCAAGGCCTCCCTGTTTCTCAGCTGGGATCAAAGGCAAGCGTCACGATGCTGACTAGTTGAATTGCTTGTTTGTGTGCTTGTTTTTTGAGACAGTCTCTCTGTACATCCCTGGCTATCCTGCTCAGTATATAGGCCAGGCTAACCTTGAACTCACAGAGATCCACCTCTGTGCCACCACGACTGGCCTGTTATTTTTTTGACCTTAGTAAACACCAGGATTGTATTGGTGAGACACAGGCAGTGGAACTTGTACCTGGTGGACTTGATGCTTCTGTTGACTTGTAACTAATTGCAATTCTCTCCCCGAACAGGACTGCTGATGGAGGAGGCTTGGTAGAAAAGCACTACCTCTTCCTGAAGAGACTTTGTCAGGTGTTATGCGCACTGGGCAATCTGCTATGTGCACTGCTGGTGAGCAAGTGTGCTCTGGAGAGCATGGGGCTGCTTGGGGAATCGTTTACTTAGAAACCATGTAAGCACTTTGCCACTTCACTGATGTTAGTTGATGAGGCATTGCTCTACCAGTTTTTTCTATGATTCTATAAAGTAAATGATCTTCAGTAAAAAGGTGGGCATGGTATAGGTTGGTGTTGTGGGTTTTTTAATGTTGTTGTTTGTTGGTGGTGGTTTTGCCTGTTTGTTGACATAGAATCTCACTATGTAGCCCTGGCTGGCCTGGGACTCACAGAGCTCCATCTGCCTCTGTCTCCCAGAGCTGGGACTGAAGATGATGATAACCACCTGACTTGAATGGGTATTTATTAGGTCCAGTCTCATATATAAAAAGAACAGGTGTGATGAAATAATTTTCTCTTTTCTTTCTTTTTGGTTTTTCCAGACAAGGTTGTTATGTGTAGCAGCCCTGGCTGTCCTGGAACTCCCTCTGTAGACCAGGCTGGGCTCTAATTCATAGAGATCCTCCTGCCTCTGCCTCTGCCTTTGCCTCTGCCTCATCAGTGCTGGAAGTAAAGGCGTGCACCACCACTTCTGGGCTAATACTGTTTTTTAATAAACTTTGTTTTTAATTTCATAAGACAGTATCTCTTTGTAGTTTAGTTTGTTCTTAAACTCCCCATGCTTCTGCCTCAGCTTTCCTAGTGTTATGATAACAGGCTTATACCAATACATCTAGCCTTCAAAATGTTATTTCAGTTGTTTGTTACTCATTCTTCCCAACTTCCCTGAGCTGTCTCCCTTCAGCTGCTTGCTACTCAGTACCATTAATGTGGTCTTTTTCTTTTATAGGGTTTAGATGCTAGTATACAAACACCAGCAAACTTTGGAAAGTACCTGGAATCTTTTCTTGCTTTCACAACCCATCCAAGTCAGGTAAACTTTATACAAATAACAAACTTACTATGGTCAACCCATGTCAAGTTTTGTGTCCTTGAGTGTTTCCTATCATGTACGAATGTCCACTGGACCTAAGGAGTGATTCCTAAGGGCCTGATAGAGACTCAGTGGGTAAGAAGCACTTGCTACATTGACAGGAGAGAGAACCAATGTCTGAAAGTTGACCTGTGACCTCTGGCTAACACACAGAGCCACACACAATAATAAATAAACAATTTAAAAAAGAATTTTTGGGTCTATTTCTCGAGCACATAATGTCTTTGTCAGCAGGTTTCCCTGTAGGTGGCTTTCTGATTATTCTCTATGAGATGGGTTTGTGTCCCAGGTTATTTGAACAAGAAAAAAAATTAAATCCAAAGATTTAGTGAATTGTGTTACTTTGGTATCAATTACATTCAAGATTTTTCTTGTCAGGCGTTGGTGGCACACACCTTTAATCCCAGCACTCCGGAGGCAGAGGTAGGCAGATCTCTGTGAGTTCGAGGCCAGCCTGGTCTCCAGAGCGAGTGCCAGGATAGGCTCCAAAGCTACACAGAGAAACCCTGTCTCGAAAAACAAACAAACAAACAAACAAAAAAACAAGATTTTTCTTTTGTCGCTTTGTGATCCTAGTACCCTTGTGAACACAGAAAGGGTTAAGTAATGTCCTGACATGCTCCTGGGCTCACACCTGACTCAATGCCTCTCTTACTGTCATTATCCAGTCATCAATGGCTGATGTACTGCAGAAGTGATTGCAAAATGTAGAGATTTTCTCATGGAAAATGGTTGCTGATAACTGCTAGGCTCCAGAAATATCTAAACTTTAAACTAAGCTGTATTGGTTTTTATTTTGCTTTAGTTTCTACGCTCTTCAACACATATGACCTGGGGAGCCCTCTTCAGGCATGAGATTTTATCCCGTGATCCAGCACTGTTAGCAATAATACCAAAATATCTTCGTGCATCTATGACCAACTCAGTTAAGGTAAGTAATGGAAAACCTAAATTGCAGAGCGTTGGTGAGTAGACATAGATAAGACTTTGATTGGCATCATTGCATGTCTTTAAATCCTTTAAACCCTTCTTTAAAAAGAGAGTTGTTTTTTGTTGTTGTTGTTGTTTGTTTTTTTTTGGTTTTTTGTTTTTTTTTTTTTTTTTT